TTTTGTATTCAATTGCATTATACAGAATCAATACAACCCTGACCTCTTCTTTTTCTTTATTTCTTTGGATTGTTTAACACTAGCAACAAATTAAAGAGCATTCTTCGCGTGCTTGCTCTGAAACACGCAACATACTTAGTGCAACTTGCCCACATTTTATACATAGATTATCTTTAACGTTGTCAAAGTAACACATTGTGTAATTTATTAGAAATACAAAGGAGTAGTTAAAACTTATGATAGATGGTCCGAGCATAAATATACCTTAAATTGGTACGCAGAAGTCAAAAGACTCGTAAAGAATTGATTCATCGAACATCTTACTATCAAACATTTGTGAATTGACAACGATAAACAATAGTAGGCATGTGTGAGTTAATATTTTCCTTACCTAATTGTTACTTTTCCGATTAAAAAAAAAACATAAAAAGAAGGTCTTGTAATTGATGAACCATAGTAAGATTAGTCTAGACCGGCGCACCTCGATGTCTAGCCATGTGGCTGACGTGACACGGCCTAATTTACATCACTATTGACTATTGACTATTGACATACAAGATTGCCCATTTCAACTTGTACCTACCAATTAATCATAACTGGACTAAGGACACCAAAAATGTGACCCTGCCTAATTTATACCACTATTGACTATTGACATACAAGATTGCCCATTTCAACCTCTACGTACCCATTAATCATAATTGGACTAAGGACACCAAAAAGGCGAACAGATTGACTTGATGCCATATCGTGCCAATTCAATGCACAAATTCTTGGTAAGTTTTTCCACATGATCTAAAACATTATATTACATTAGAAACAATACGAGAAAGTGAGTTAATACGACGCAACAAACATTAGCGTCTTTTGCAAATTCATCTCAACCTTTAAAATGGTGATTTTCATTTCCTATTTGCATATTTTTCCCTCTGTAAATTATTAAATTTTCCTCACTTCAAACGCACAAACTAATTTTTTGACGAGTAAAGTTGGCAAAATACTTGCATAAAACCTAATCTAATCTTGCAGGCCTAAACATTTCATTCATTTTCAATTCCAAATTCTAAAAGAAAAACCCTTCCGTTCTTTTACACACAAAACTTGCCAAAGATTGGTTGAATGCACGACCATTTTCAAGAGGTTCGAAGAAGACGACACCAATGGTGAATTGTTTATTTATTTTTAGTTACTTAAACATAATTGTGTTTTTCTTCACTTTTTTATTATGAATGAATTTATTTGTATTTTGTTTTGTTTTATTTTTGTATTTATGTTCATAGGTAACTACGATTTCTTTTTATTTTCTAATTTTTTCGATTTTTTCGGAATCAATACAATCGAAACTTCATTTTTTTAAATAAATTGTTGTTGATTGATTTGTCTTCACTATTTTTTTTTTCAATTTTTATGTACAATTAACTCAAAGTTAATTTATGTGTTTTTAATAAAATTACCAAAAAAAATATGTAGGTATGTTATTTTCTTCAAACGTCTTGACTCCGCCACTTCAACCAACCACTCACATTTTCCACCAAGTACCACTCCCCATGCTTATTCAAGATCAATAATGCAAATGCAACTTGGTGCACTATATATGTTATAAAATTACACGACCACCCCACCCCACCCCACATTTTGCATCAATAATGCAAATGCAACTTGGTGCACTAAAAATGTTATAAAATTACACGACCACCCCACCCCACCCCACCCCACATTTTGCATAAATTAAGAACTAAACAAAGCATAAATTCCCACAAGGGAAGGGTACTTCGTTCTGATACGTTTGTCATGACTCGACCATTTAGTATCAAATTATTTTATATTCAGTCAACACAAATCAAACAATTAACAAGGAATCTTTATGTGACACATTACCTATTTATGCTTCATTATTTCATATACAACGACAAATGTTCGAGTTCGACAGAAAGTCAAGCTTGGCAACTCGATGGCGAAAAGTAAAATTAAAATTCTTAGCATGATTGATTCCACATTGTTGAAATGTATTAAAGAAGTGTCATTCTTGCTTATTGATTGTTTCTGCCCATGTACTACCTACCAAATGCAATTTGATTAGTTTCGTAGAATATACGGTGTCTGGACTCATTACATTTATGTGAATTTTCTCATGACACACAACATAAAAACTCTTATGAAAGAATTTCGCCTGCTCTGTATCATCAATTTAGACATTGAGCAATGCTGTTTTGGTGATGAGACGAGTCTAGGTGATAGTGGTGGTTTATCTCTAGTTATCCAATGTGGGTCGTCACTTCCACCTAAACTGGCGTTAGGGTAGCATTATTCTTTGATTATTCGTCAATGCATCATTGTTAGATCAACCCAGATTGTAATATCTGCAGATAGAATGCCTCACTACATAAAAGTATGACTGCAATTTAGGTGTCAATCATTGGCCAATACATGGATTGGATAGTGCATGACAATATTAAAGAAGAAAATGAAAATAAAATCTTATTCGATATATTTTAGACTCTTGTCTATCACTGCAAATCAAACATATGCTCCTTGTACCTATCAGAAATGCTGCAATTAAGGAAATGAAAATTACACAAATGTTTTTTGTAACAGAAGATGATGACAATAAAAACAGAATCAAGAAGAGAGTTTCTTGAGTCCTTCACTCAGAGCAATATTAGTAAGGCTGTAACCCCCATCGACTACTAGATTCTGCCCGCTTACATACTTCGATTCATCACTGGCCAGGAACAGCACAGCCTCAGCCACATCAGTTGTCTCTGAGGTTGGCCCTTTCAAATTTGCTATTTCATGCACAAATTCCTCCACCTTCTCCTTTTCTGGGATTTTGAGCGCACTCATCAGCATTGGTGTAGCAACACCATAAGGAGAAATGCAATTGACTCTAATTCCATGCTTCCCCAATTCAATGCACAGATTCTTTGTAAGACCTACTACTGCAGTCTTGGATACTACATAAGCATGAGGAACATCCCCAAAAGTCACAGAAGCAACACTTGAAGTAAAGATAATGCTCCCTTTCTTGGACGGAATCATTACCCTTGCAGCGTGTTTGGCGCATGAAAACATGCCAAAAACATTAACATCAAAAACCCTCTTGAAGTCTTCGTACTCAATATCCAAAATTGTTGGGATCATCTTACCTCCGGTACCTGCATTGCCAAACATTATGTCTAGTTTACCGTACTTGGAAACTGCCATGTCTACTGCATTTTGGACATCGGTGTCATTAGATACATCGCAGTGGACATAGGAAATGACTTCTGGAGATCCTATGTTATTGCACACTGCTTGGCCGAGTTCATCCTGGACATCAGCAATAATGACCTTAGCACCTTGCTGGACGAAAAGCCTAGCAGTGGTTTCCCCTATGCCACTGGCGCCACCAGTTATTACAGCAACCTTGCCTTCTAGCCTGCAAAATCAAACAGGAACCATATACTTCCCTTTTTTCTTAAACTTAATTAAGTTGAATAAACTTCATGAATCACTGGCGTAGGATAATTTACCTGTTTGTCATTTATCTAGCAACAAAGAGCCCTTCAGTGGGATTTCGGGGAAAATAAGTCCTTTCAGATGGAAATTAAAAGGAAGATGATCCCAATTCCCAAATATCTATTACAGATCAAGGAAACATATGGACCAGCAACAGTACAATATTTATTAAATAATATTTCTTCACATGTTTGGTGTGGACTCGTATCATGTTTTAATGCAACTATTGCATTTTATCCTTGCCATGACAGTGATTATAGATAAATGTGTAAATTGGAGCAAGTCTTCAAAGTATCCATGATGAAAAGACGACTAAAAAACTTTTAGTGACTTTTATTTAGGATCGAAAAGAGAGAGTTCACACTCTTAAATTGTAATTTTACACAACTCCTAGCTATAACTAGCCACAAGTTCTAAAGATAATGCAAGGGAACCACAAAGGCGTCCATATGCTACTACGCCCATCGTAAAGGATGCATTAGACTCTTTAGAGGTGGCAATCAGGCATTGGGACCACAACATTCTGAGGATGCACAAATGTGACGTGTGCTCGTTGACACAGCTTGATAAACATAAAAGAACTTCATCAACAAATCAAAGTGTCCTCGAAGAAGGGCGATTAGCTACTACAACAGTGTGCAAATGCAATGGTCATGCCGTCCTCAACGGAGGAGGACTCCAATGACAAAGGTAATCTTTTCATTCATTTGAATTTTGAGAGGCGAATGGATATTTGATTCAAACGAGGCTTGCAATGGCCTACCCATTTTAGAAATTGTAAATGACAAAGGTGTACTATAAGAAGTGAGGGACAACACTGAAATTTCTGGTACGAATATGGCAAGGGTACTTGAGACACTTGTTAAAAATTCTTCCGGTAATGATACTGAAAGAAATTTGTTATGTCAAGAAAATCTCTTGGCACGTTACAAGCATGGATGGTGGGCCTAACAGTGGAAGGAAAGTAATAATCAATTAGAAAGGCCTTCTGCTACTGATAGGGTGACAAATCGAGGTATATAACACACTGAATGTAACTAAAAGTTGATCCATTGGTGCAGAAAATGGTACGAGCAGAGAAGGAAAGAAGTTTGTAATAAAGATATCTGCTACGAGCATATCTGACTTCGTTCCTATCGAAAATTTATATTTTCTTGATCTCAAGTTTCTGCTTTTATTGTTATTTTGCTAATCCGGTTTTCAACCCCAACAGCAACTTGCTACACAATAAAAGTAACCAGATTGTCTCAGAACTTTTAGTGATGATGGCCATCAAGAACCGAAACCAAGGTAGGGTGCAGAACCTCATCAAAGACTACAGAGAGGTCAGCTAAGTGTAGTAATGCACAGTAGAGTGGACTTGGAAAATACGAAATGGCCATTATGGATGAAGTATATAGGACCATAGTGAACAAGTTGGTGGGTTGGTTGCCTTTCTTTTCAGCTTTATAGTTGGGAATCAATTTATTACTATGAAGAGGGTGAAACCATGAAAGGCCGACGCTACTACTCCATTCACGCATGCTTAGGAGGATAGCGCACTTCGTGATGCTGTTCCATGATGTACGCAGTTATGATATAGGTTGTTGAATTTGGGAGGGCCATGAGTTGGTTGGACCGAACTATTAAGCTAAGGAGGGTAAACCAAACATGAAGAAGGACCTCCCTCCTGGCGAGCCTCGCAAGTATGGGTGTGCAGTAGAATACAATTGAGTATATGTTGAGAAAAACGTGCCAAAATGGATACCAAAGGGTCAATTCAATCAACATAAATACCGGAAAAGTAATGAACATCAACATATCAGCAATTTTTACATGAAAACCCTCCAAATCAAAGGAAAAGAATCGTGACCTTAGTTTCTCCTATATCACCTTACCTACATCAGTAAACCTGATGGGGAATTAGGGGGCTCCGACCATGTTTTATTGATTAAATCAAAGTAGAAGCATGATGAGCGCACTCCAACTTGACCTTTAAAGTTAAAAAATAGAGTTCAGCGAAAGCAAAAAAACAAAGGTACTACCTTCATTGCAAAAAATATATAACGAATCTTAGAAAAGCAACTGTAATACGAGAGACTTCAACCTCGAACGTAGAGAATATTAATATGTTCACAAGAGAGAGTTTTTATGAGACCATAGGAAAGTCTTCCTCCCCAAGATCAACATTTTTCTTCCTAATAAAACCTCCGTTTGCCAAAAAACTAGGCAATTTGGTTCCCCTCACAATTGAATAATGTGACTCACCTTAATGTCGATGGATTGTTTGCATTGTAGAATCTGGTTTAGATTATTTGTACCTCCCACGAGTCCCCTTTTTATTTTCCACACTTTGTACTGCTAAAAAGTAACGAGCTTGTTGAATCGATAAGAAGACCATAGAGTATTTCAACAGCTAAAAGTCAAATCATATGATCATCTATCAGAAACTCCAAGCAGCACTGATAGAGTATTTCAATGAGTTAAGCATGGAATTTCGATCAATCATAAGAAAACCATAGAGACATTGATTGTTGATCATAGCCAGCAACAAATTGTACCATCAATCTTGTAAGTCCGTAAAGTGTCTGAAGAAAGCACCTTGACAGCATCGTGTTTTAGACTGCATACAAGAAATAAGAGCTTGATCAACAACTAAGTGATAAACATAGCAGTAGTGGAGCAGTTTTTTTTCATATATTCATCTCTCTTGGATGCAAAATTATATAGGTACAGAGACAAACAGATTCTTTGTAAGACCTACTACAGCAGTCTTGGATACTACATAAGCATGAGGGGCATCCCCAAAAGTCACAGAAGCTACACTTGAAGTAAAGATAATGCTCCCTTTCTTGGACGGAATCATTACCCTTGCAGCGTGTTTGGAGCATGAAAACATGCCAAAAACATTAACATCAAAAACCCTCTTGAAGTCTTCGTACTCAATATCCAAAATTGTTGGGGTCATCTTACCTCCCGTACCTGCATTGCCAAACATTATGTCTAGTTTACCGTACTTGGAAATTGCCATGTCTACTGCATTTTGGACATCGGTGTCATTAGATACATCGCAGTGGACATAGGAAATGACTTCTGGAGATCCTATGTTATTGCATACTGCTCGGCCGAGTTCATCCTGGACATCAGCAATAATGACCTTAGCGCCTTGTTGGACGAAAAGCCTGGCCGTGGTTTCCCCTATGCCACTGGCGCCACCAGTTATTACAGCAACCTTGCCTTCTAGCCTGCAAAATCAAACAGGAAACATATACTTCCCTTTTTTCTTAAACTTAATTAAGTTGAACAAGCTTCATGAATTACTGGCGTAGGATAATTTACCTGTTTGTCATTTATCTAGCAACAAAGATCCCTACAGTGGGATTTCTGGGGAAAATATGGAAATTAAAAGGAAGATGATCCCATATATCTATTACAGATCAAGGAAAAATATGGACCAGCAACAATACAATATTTATTAAATAATATTTCCTCACATGCTTGGTGTGGACTCATATCATATTTTAATGCACCTATTGCATTTTATTCCTGTCGTGACAGTTAGGCTCTGTTTGGTCCACATTATTTTTTTCATTCTTATTCTTCTACTCATTTTCAACCACACATTCTTTAATAAAATAATATTTTTCATCACATCAAATAAGTTTTTCTTCTTTTTCAATCACATATTCTCCAATACATCAACAGTAAAAATGCATTCTTACCTTCAAAATGTACACCAAATGAGGGCTAAATAGATAAACGTGTAAATTGGAGCAAGTCTTCAAAGTATCCATGATGAAAAGACTACTAAAAAACTTTTAGTGTCTTTTATTTAGTATCGAAAAGAGATAGTTCACACTCTAAAATTGCAATTTTACACCACTCCTAGCTATAACTAGCTAGCCACAAGTTCTAAAGATAATGCAAGAGAACCACAAAGACGTCCATATGCTACTACGCCCATCGTAAAGGATGCATTAGACTCTTTAGAGGTGGCAATCAGGCATTGGGACCACAACATTCTGAGGATGCACAAATGTGACATGTGTGCTCGTTGACACAGCTTGATAAACATAAAAGAACTTCATCAACAAATCAAATTGTCCTCGAAGAAGGGCGATTAGCTACTACAAAAGTGTGCAAATGCAATGATCATGCCGTCCTCAACGGAGGAGGACTCCAATGACAAAGGTAATCTTTTCATTCATTTGAATTTTGAGAGGCGAATGGATATTTGATTCAAACGAGGCTTGCAATGGCCTACCCATTTTAGAAATTGTAAATGACAGAGGTGTACTATAAGAAGTGAGGGACATAAGTGAAATTACTGGTACGAATATGGCTAGGGTACTTGAGACACTTGTTAAGAGCTTGTTTGAGAGAAATTAAAATCCAATTAAAATTGAAAATATAGTCGTTATTGGGTTTCACTCGTCTAATAAAAGTCAACAATAACGACTAGTTTTTCAATTTTAATCCGATTTTAATTCCTCCCAAACAAGCTCTAAAAATTCTTCCGGTAATGATATTGAAAGAAATTTGTTATGTCAAGACAATCTCTTGGCATGTTACAAGCATGGATGGTGGGCCTAACAGTAGAAGGAAAGTAATAATCAATTAGAAAGGCCTTCTGCTACTGATAGGGTGACCAATCGAGGTATATAACACGCTGAACGTAAATAAAAGTTGATCCATTGGTGCAGAAAATGGCACGAGCAGAGAAGGAAAGAAGTTTGTAATAAAGATATCAGCTACGAGCATATTTGACTTCGTTCCTATCGAAAATTTATATTTTCTTGATCTCAAGTTTCTGCTTTTATTGTTATTTTGGTAATCCGGTTTTCAACCACAACATCAACTTGCTACGATAAAAGTAACCAGACTGTCTCGGAACTTTTAGTGATGATGGCCATCAAGAACCGAAACCAAGGTTGCAGAACCTCATCAAAGACTAGAGAGAGGTCAACTAAGTGTAGTAATGCAATTATGCACAGTAAAGTGGACATGGAAAATACGAAATGACCATTATGGATAAAGTATATAGGACCATAGTGAACAAGTTGGTGGGTTGGTTGCCTTTCTTTTCAACTTTATAATTGGGAATCAATTTATTACTAGGAAGAGGGTGAAACTGTGAAAGGCCGACGCTACTACTCCATTCATGCACGCTTAGGAGGATAGCGCACTTCGCGTTGCTATTCCATGATGTATGCAGTTATGATATAGGTCATTGAATTTGGGATGGCTATGAGTTGGTTGGACCGAACTATTAACCTAAGGAGGGTAAACCAAACCTGAAGAAGGACCTCCCTCCGGGCGAGCCTCGCAAGTATGGGTGTGCAGCAGAATACAATTGAGTATATGTTGAGAAAAACGTGCCAAAATGGATACCAAAGGGTCAATTCAAACAATATAATACCGGAAAAGTAATGAAAATCAACATATCAGCAATTTTCACATGAAAACCCTCCAAATCAAAGGAAAAAAATTGTGACCTTAGTTTCTCCTATATCACCTTACCTACATCAGTAAACCTGATGGGGAATTAGGGGGCTTCAACCATGTTTTATTGATTAAATCAAAGTTGAAGCATGATGAGCGCACTCCAACTTGACCTTTAAAGTTGCAAAATAGAGTTCGGCGAAAGCAAAAAAACAAAGGTACTACCTTCATTACAAAAAATATATAACGAAGTCCATAACGAATCTTAGAAAAGCAACGGTAATATGAGAGACTTCAACCTTGAACGTAGAGAATATTAATATGTTCACGAGAGAGAGTTTTATGAGACCATAGGAAAGTCTTCCTCCCCAAGTTCAATGATCATTTGATTTCCCGCAAGTAAACAGGGTCGTGATTAAGTAATATAGTAGTGTGTAAAATGTCGAACCCACGAGGATTACGTGTTTGATTGAGTTAAAGTTAATAATACCCTTAATCGAATAGCAATAACAGTTTATAATAAATCTATATCTAATCTATCACGCACAAGAAATTAAAGTAAGAGTTTATCAAATTTCTGAGATATATTGCTAAAATCTAGAATCCCCATTGTTTATCCATTTTTAGTTTAACAATTAAATTGACAATTTGTTATCATGCGAGTTGGTCGAAATTTCAAATTTATTTAAAAACCTCTCTCGATAGCAATTAAATCTATTCCC